CTGTGAACCCCCGAGGGATCGAAAATCGAATTGAAACACTCCTGGCACCTCTTGAAGCTCTCCTGGTCGTCTTGCGAGTCCTCCTCGTCACAGCTAAGCTCGAGGAACGCACCCGCTTCTCCCTCTTGCGCTTCTTGGCTGAATTATTATTTTGATTATTGTCCTTCGGTCGGTCCACACCCGTGTAGATCTCCACATCCTCCGAAGCCTCCTGGTTCTGCGGCTGACCACCCTCCGCCTCCTCCGACGTCACTTCCTCCGTGACCTTCAGAAACGGTGTACTCGTCGGTGTAGGCGCCGAAGATGGCCTTGGTGGAGCTGCAGTCGGAACTGCAGCCGACTCCTTCTTGCTCAGGGTCTCCTCCAGCGTGTTGGACTACTCGTCCAGGTCCTTCGTCGCCTGGTCGAACCTCGGGGGCGGATAGGAAGGCGGCCGCGGTGTGCGGGACGGCGCCCTCGCTCCCCTCTACTCGCAAGGAGGGCCGATCCCTCCCCAGAACCCCGGTGGCATCTCCGAAACCAAGATCTCCTGCGGGATCCCGTGCTGGAAGAAGCGCATCGCCGTCGTTCTTGATGACGGAATCGCCTTGGGAGGCACTGGCGGCACGTGCTTCGGTGTCGCGCCCGCGTACCTTTTTGGTGGAGTTCGCGCCTGCCGTTCGCCAGCCGTAGAGGTTATCGCAGACGCTCACCCTCCCTTTGCTTAAGGGCGAGCCCATCTGGGTCTCGGTGTCCAAGAAGAGCTGGCCGAGAACAGCTCCAGCTCCTGGCCTCTGGGCCGTGCTGAAAGCCAACGTAAAACTCGCAATCCCTGTTCATGCCTCCATAGCTCGGCAGCGCTGCGCCGCTGCGAAGTGCGCGCTGCCACCGCTCCCCCTGAGCGCGCGGCGGCTTGGAGGAGGAAGAGGAGGAGGGTGAGGGGGAGGAGGAGGAGGGAGGAGAATGAGGAGGAGGAGGGTGAGGGGGAGGAGGAGGAGGGAGGAGGAGGAGGAGGAGGAGGAGGAGGAGGAGGCGCAGGAGGAGGAGGAGGCGGAGGCGGAGGCGGAGGAGGCACCGATCCTGGCATACTTTCAACGACCGACGGGTACAGTGTGGGTGCGGCGCTGGCGCGGAGAAATTCATGATCCACATCGAGCCACACCGCCGCTGCATTGGCCATGCGGCGCGATCCTCCGACCCCATCTGCTCGGACCCCCACTGGGAGGCCTAGAGGGACGCTGGAGCGCCCGTGCACCCAAGCTTCCTCGCCGAGTTAGTTGGTCTCTTGGCCGGCCAGACGACACAGCATGTACAGTGCGGGCGCGGCGCGGCCGCAAGAAACCCTCGCAAGGAGCCCGACCCTGAAACTCCCCGCGCGCGAGGTGCATCTGAGGGGACGACCGGGCTGCGCAAGAGCAGCAGCTTCTTCGACGGCTGCGGGAAGTCACCGCGCAGCGCGCGGAGCGAAGAAACCCAGGATACCCTGGCAAAAGACATACGGCTTCTTGATGCGCGCCCCCGCTGTACCCAATGCCTTCCCTGCACTGCACCCACGCCGCGGCCAGAAAGCAGCGCAGGAGGAGGAGGAGGAGGAGGAGGAGGAGGAGAAAGAGGAGAAGGAGGAACTAGAGGGGGAGGCTGCTCTGTGGAGTGCCGCGGCAGAGCCCTACGTGGCTGGCAGGCGGGCTGCCCCGTCGGGAGGCCCGTTGTAGACTGAAGACTTAACAAAAACTGAAAACGTAGGTCTGGCGTGATACGCTCGCCTAACCGTGGGCCAACATGCTGAGCCCAGACGTAGCGTATTCGCCCGGACGTCTTGAGTCTTGAACACGGCACGAGTTGAGTTTCAACGCGTGCGCATCAGGGCAGCTAAGCTCAAAGCCTTCCTGGCACTGCACCTGCGCCGTGGCCAGAGAGCAGCACAAGCGGAGAGAGTGCTGCTCTGTGGCGTGCAGCGGCAGAGACCTGAGTGGCCGACAGGCAGGCTGCCCCGTCGGGCAGGCCTATTGTGCGGGTAGTAATCCATCGCGAAGAACTTGGCCCACTGATCACGCATGGCCGGGTTGCAGAAATCTGGGTAGAACGACCTCGGCAAACGGTCTCATCGTCGTCATCGTCATCGTCATCGTCATCGTCATCGCCATCGTCATCGTCATCGTCATCGTCATCATTGCCATCGTCATCGTCACCGTCATCGTCGTCGGTTGCAGAAATCAGGTTAGAACGACCTCGACACCCGGTGTCATCGTCGTCATCGTCATCGGTTGCAGAAGTCCAGGTAGAAGGACCTCGGCACCCGTTGTCCTCACCTCACCTGCTGGCGAACGGGCCAGAAGATAACCAACAGCCAAACCCGCACCCCGCTCTCGGCGGACGACTTCTCGTCGGCGGCGGCGCTGTCCATCCCAAGAGCCCGTCTCGGCCTGGAGCTCGCAGCACACCCTGATAACACGCCCAGGTCCCTTCGAACACAAACAAAACGCAGTAGAAACGAATCATCCTTCGAAGAGCCCGCTTCGCTTTCAGTGTGGTACCGCGATCGGGCAATGAGCGGTTGCTGCAGGCGCCAACAGCCTCGTCGCCCGCCGAAGCCGATGTTCAGACGTATTACCTCTCTGCCGATATGCAGTCCCGAGCTTAGTCATCCCATCGGGTGCCCACGACCGAACGCTACATCCTCCTCCTCGTCATCATACTTCGCACCCCCCTCCTCCTCCTCCTCCTCATGATCATCATCATCACTATCATACGAATAATCATCATCAACATCATCACTATAATTATCATCATCACCATCACCATCATCATCATCATCATCATCATCGTCATCACCATTATCACCATCATCATCCCTGCTTTCAGTTTCATCATCCCAGTCCTCCTCGCCATCATCACCGTCATAAACATCACCTGCATCCTAGTATTCTCTCTCATCTACTCTTTCGCATCATACACTCCTCTTCATCATGGCCCGCTTCATGTTCATCGACTGCAACCTTCGTTCAATCAGTATCCTTCCCCTTATCTGGGGGCAGAAAATCCACCCCGATAATAACCACCCCGACACGCGAAGCCGTTTAGTAAACACACCCAAAGAAGGAATCAAACTGGGCAAGGCTGCTTAGTAAACGCCCAAGGCCGTTTAGTAAACGCCAATTGTCCGGTCCGGGTTGCTTTTCCTCTCTTGCTTATCTTCTCTCCTTCCTCAATCCGCCTCTCTTCTACTTATCTTTCCTATCCCTCCGTCTTCCTTGTCATGCTTATCGTCCTCCGCCTTATGTTCCCTCCTCATCACCAACATCCCCAGTATCACCATCGTCATTCATCCTCCCCGCCTTCGTTATTGGCATCCTCATCACCAACCTCGTTCTTCGCCGGATCATCATGCTCCCCTTCAGCTCGACTCGGATACTCACCCTCGCCCGCCCCCGGCCAGATGACCGGCGAACCTGAGTATCGTTGATCCGATCCCCATCCCCAGCGGCGTGGCCTGGGCCCCCCTGGCCGATTTATCCTCCTCAGTGGGGATATAGGCCGTTCCCTTCGGGTTTCGAGGGGTGTGTCCCCAACTGGGGGGGCAGTTGGGTGGGGGTCTCGAAGGGGATGGGGATGGGCATGGGGATCGGTTCAGCGATACCGAGAACCAGAGCCCTGTCAGCACAGCCAAGCCCGCCCGGCCGGGCTGGCCAGGTCGGCCCAGCCGAGCCCACCCAGCCCCGGCGGCTGCCAGGCAGGCCCGCACGCCTCCCTCCGAGCTCCGACGATAAGCGAAAAGCAGCTGCAACATCACGAAAACTCACGACCCCAAACCCTGGACTCCTGTCTGTCTGCGGCACTCCCAGACCTGAGCATTTTTTTTTAGGGTGGAGGGCTCAGGGTGAACTCCATATGGGCTTGCGCATCTCGAAACTCACTCCGTCTTGTGACTCACCTTTTGCAGATTCCCTCGGAAATCCATCGAAACGGCATTTCAGATTCCACCCTTTGCCCTCAACCCAAAGAAAAGGTTCGGCAGACGCTTGGCGTTCCCTGGGACCGGCTCTTCATCTTCTCATGGCCCCGAGGCACCGTGAGGGCCCCCAGCGGCCGAGAACAGCGACCAACCTCCTGGTCTGTTGTTGTTCGAGCCGGATCCATCTGTGAAGGTCCCGGGGCCCGGCGCCGGGCGAAGGCGCCCGCTGTGCAGAAACTGCAGGGCAGCTGGATCTGAGACGGAAGAACCTGCCCCAAGAACATGAGACCCTCGCCCGGCCAAAACACACAGAGCACCCCAGGGCACCCTCCCCAGGATGCACAAAGACGTCCAGCACACACGAAGCACACCAGGGTACCCTCCCCGAGCCGACCTCGACCTCATACCTCGGTCCGACCGTACGCCAGAATCTCAGATCCCCCCACGCCGCCCACAGAGCACTGGACGTCCCCGGCCAGCACCACCCGTCGTACTGGACGCCGGCGCTCGTCTTGGTGAAGAGGTCCTCCCCTGCTGGCGCGGCCGCGACGGCGACGGGGCCTGCACCGTCCGAAGGGAAACAGGTGGAGGGGGAGGCGGAAGGGGAAAAGGGGGGGATGGCTCGATGGGGTAACAATATAAGATATAATGTTATGTTAGAGGACACCACATAAGATAACATTATACTTCGTAGTAGAATGCATTGATCTACTGTAGTATTAATAACAGACTGCAAAGTCTAGGATTATGGTATTTATGACTATAGCATCCACAATAGTACCAACTAGTATACTATTCGATCATGTAGTACAAGATGATACTACAAACGATGACATCCTATAATACAAAATGATACAGTATGCCACGATATAAGGCCATGGTTGTAATGATATATACTTTCATACAACAACATATAAGTTGATGTTCACTCATCGGATTCCACCCAATGTTGTATGAGCATAAAACAAAATTCGGTCATACGATATGTCGTAACTCTTGTAAATATCATAAATTAACATAATACAGTATACCATACAGTGGAACATTGAAACATCGTATGTTTCGCTATAAGCTGACATGTAACGCAACATCAAAATCCGTATACTATGATATGATAGGTCGGCATATCATTTAATTGAATGCATACTTGCAGTGGAACCGCAACGTATCTTAATACGGATATATGCAAACATCTCCATCTATTCTAATGTATGGGTATGGCATGCAGAAGCATGTATGTGTATATATATACATACATACGGAGGGAACGGGAAGCGAGAGGAGAAGAGGGGGCATGGCGGGATGGGAATAATGGGATATAGTATAATATCATGTTATGGGGCACGCTATACCACAGCTTAATAGACCATGTGCGAATCTATTATGAAATTGTACATTACGATGAAATAAAAATGGCAGGATACATTATGCTATGATATAGGATGCGACAACAGATGAGAACAAACAATATTACACTACAGCCAAACATGTACACTTAAACCCAATGTTCTAAACTGATAGTGTTACGAAGTTCATACAGTGACATCTATGAAATAACATGTGTTAGGATATGGCATGACGTTCAATACGCTGGAATCGTGTAACTTGACAGGACGGTATAGCCTATGTAATCAGACATTGCACTATGACACAATAAATGCAACATACAACCCAGCACCTAACATTATGTAACATGATATGGCACATTATGAAATAACAACATATGGTAGGGTCGGGCACACCATATTCAGCTATAGTATAATGGCATATCATTGCATTGAATATTCAATCGCAGTGGAACCACTTCATATCTACATGTGGATCGGTTCGATCTCTATACATATGTATAATGTGTATGTATGTATGTGTGTACGTACGTACGTATGTATGTATGTATGTATGTCTGTATGTATGTATGTATACATATATATATATATATAAATATATATATAGATACGCGCGGCAAACATATGTGTGTCTGTATGTATATATGCATACACCTAAATTGAGCTCCGCGCGCTGCTCATGCAGCCTGGCCTCGCCAGGGACGCACGCGGCCTGTCGGGCGCCGCCCTTGCTGCCCCCTACTACGCGGCCCCCCGATTTGGAGGGGACCAAAGAGCAGGGAAGCAGGGAAGGAGAGACAGGACGGGGGAGGAGAGGAAGGGGCAACTGGTGTTGCATCGCTGCAGGCCATGATCGCCTCCGCCCGGCACAGAAGCCCCTGGCGGCGCACGCCAGGCGGAACGAAGAATGCCTCCGTCGCGGGAACGGCGGCGTCGAAACAGGCGGGGGCCACGCGTCCAGGCTCGCCACCGACGATGCCATGCTGCGGCTGGCTCGGGGTGCGTCAGGGAGGCGTTCTGGGATGTCCGCGGGGCACCTGGTGGTCCTCGCCCCTGTCGGTGGGGACGGAAGCGTGGGGTTAGGGGCAAAGGCGGGGCTGGGAGGAACATCGCCCTACACGGCACCCGGAAAAACGAAATGTGAGTATCCAGCTGGGTTCGTTCCCTAACTCCACCTTGAGATAATCCGCCCTCTGGGGGCCGTTCTCCCGGTCCTCCTCCTCCTCCTCCTCCTGCTCCTCCTTCTCGTCGAAACCTGTGGAGGCTGGTTTTCCTTGGCCTAGTGTCAGTTTGTGTCGCGTGCGCCGCTGCGCTATTTTCCAGTAGTCCGTTCGTCCTCTCAGACGAACTCACTGAGGTCAGCGCGTTCCCCCTCCTCCCGCTCCCACCCCCGCCCCCTCCTCCTCCTCCTCTCCTCCTCCTCCTCCTCCTCCTCCTCCTCTTCCTCCTCCTCCTCCCCGTGCCAATGACCCCCCAGACTTCTTGGTTCTCGATGTGGTTGGGGACGCACGGGGCAGCCTTTCAGGATCCCTGCTGGGGTCCGACGAACACCAAGACCTCGAGGGCCAGGGAATGGGGGTCGGGGCGACAAAGGCTTAATTCGGCCAGCTCGTGCACGATTGGAGCCTGTCATGGCTCGAGGTTGGGCGTCAGTAAGCATGCGGTGGTTGACTGGGGCCCAGGGGCCCGAACTCTTATTCCGATGCTCGGGATCGGAGTTTGGGGAAAGGCGGCAAAGAGCTACGGACTCACGGCGTTCGAATGTAGCACTCAGCCGGTCGTTTCGACAGGAGCGACCAGGGCCCAAGTAGTTGAAAAGCTCACTGCAGTAACCACCGCGCGGGTGGCAGGTATGTGCATCATGCTTTCTGCTTGCCGCCGTTTCGCTTTAAGGGTCGGGGACTACGGACCGCTGCACAGCAAGTTCGCGGTAGCCCCTGGCCCGCTGATTCGACCGGATCAGCTTTCCATTCATGCCCATTGCTTGCAGGGCCGGGGACTAAGGACCACTGCGTAGCAAATTCAAGTTAGCCCACGGCCCGCTGATTCGACTGGATCAGCCTGTCAGGCGCCGCGCGCGCAGCCATCGTCATGCACATCGCTCTACCCATTGCCTAAAGGGTCGGGGACTAAGGACCACTGCGTAGCAAGTTCAAGTTCGCCCCCGACCCACTGATTCGACTTGATCAGCTTGTCAGACGTCGTGCGCGCAGCCATCGTCATGCAGATCGCTCTAGCCGCCTGCCGCTGCACCTCCCAGCGCTTGCTTGTGAAATGCCCGTGCTGTTCTTGTTCCCCGACGCCGACGCTTCCGCCGCTGCCACCTCCGCCGCCGCAGTCGCCGCTTCCGACGCCGCCGTCGTCGTCGTCGTCGTCGTCGTTGTCGGCGTCGGCTTCATCGTCGTCGTTGTCGTCGTCGTCGTCGTCGTCGTCGTCTCCTTCCCTCCTCCGGCCTACCAGCACTATGTGAAGCACGATCGACAATAACGAAGCAAGATTTGTTAACACGATTTGTTTGGCTCTCGACATGTGCACGTTCGGTGGCCAACCCCGTTTGGTGAGAGCTCTGGCCGCACCTAGAAGCGTGAGCACAGTACTCTGGATCCCTAAAGGGGAAAAGCGCCCAGGCGATCCGGGAAACCGGCAACTGGGGAACTTTCGCTTCATTAGACTGGCTGGCCTGCTTGCGGGCCCCGGACCTGCCTGTTCTCAGAGACACCGAGCTATCACGCATGCGTAAGGTAGATTTGTTTGCGGGCGTAGTCGCTGAGACAATGCGACTGTGACGTATCACGGAGTTGGTGCGTAGAGTCTGCAGGAGGAAAGCATAATCACAGTTGAGACTCAAGCGAAGATCCCTCGTAGTTGCTTCCACTTCTGATGCGCACAGCGTGCCACCGCGAGAGGTTGCCCGATGTTTAGCCCCAAGTAGCTCCCAATAGGGGGCCAGGAAACCCACAGAGTTGACCATGGATCCCTGGCCAACCGGCCAGGTAGCCTCTGGAGGCCGCCCTCGCGCCTCCACAATGGGGGAACCCCCTTGCCAGCTTAGGCCGCAATAGAGGTTTCGGCGTTGAGCCCAATCTTGTGACACCCCTGGAGGATTCGTTTGAAGTAAGCCTCTGCAGGCAAGTCGTTGAGGTAGCTTGGAGCTACGGAATCAACAATCCCACTGAGTGGGATAGCAGCTTTGTGCGATACGCGACAACATGCGTAGACAATGGTATACCCTATATCCGAGCGCGGCTTTGGCGAATCCCAATCCCCAGCCACGCCAGAGGGGGTTACAGGAGGGTGGAGTCCGAGCGCGGGCTGGGGCAAATGCCATTCACCAGCCACGCCAAAGGGGTACAGAAAGGTGACCCCTCATGCTGGGGAGTTGGTCCTCCTTACCTCGTGCGTTGACCCTTCACGCTGGGGATTGCACCTCTCACGCGTTGACCCCTCATGCTGGGGACTGTACCCCTCATGAGTCGCGCTGTCGTGCTCGCATCTCGCCCGTCATGATGTCGGGCTTTCCCAACGGGTGGCTCTCGGCCGTGCCTGGAGAGAACACCGGTGAGTTGGGCAGCTTACCCGTGCACTGCAGCTGTTTTGGCCCTACCTGGAGCTCAATTCAGCGGCACGGAGGCGCGCGGACTCATTAGGGGTCCGATTGCTCCCCTGAAGGGAAGTGCTGGGCAGCGCACGGCTGCAGATTCAGTGTGTGTGCGGACCACTGCGGAGGCAAGTTCGCTTCTCCGACTTGGGATGCCACCCTGTAGGGGCCCGGATTTGACCAGATCACCAGAGGGCATAGGGTGAGGAGGGGGCGGTGGACAGAGAAGGCGATAGAGAGGTGGAGCATCGACCGGTGCTCCTCACTAATCACCTCAATATCATTGCTGTCCTCCGCCCCCCGCTTTACGCCGCGTGGCAGGTTTATCGCATCGGCCAGACCCCGCTCCCATAAGGGCTGAGGTGCGTGAGCCCGACCCACGGCCAAAGGGCACATCCGTGACACTCCTCCTCCTCCTCCTCCTCCTCCTCCTCCTCCTCCTCCTCCCCGTCCCCGCACCTCACCTTCCGCGCTCCCCCCCCCTTGGGAGGCCCCGCCATTTTCTTGATTGTCTCGAAGACGTCGTAGCCGCTCTCCTCCCAGGCCCAGGGGTGGCCCAAGCATTGCGGAGATGGCAGGAGCGGAAGGGGCGGTGACGGGCGCCGACGACGACGACGACGACGACGACGACGACATCGAGTCAGCGGCCAATGCCGCAGCGGGTTCGCGGCAAACGCAAAGGAGTGGCCAATCCCACGAGGAGGGTAAAAAGAGGAGGATCCTCCGGCCTCCTCCATTCCCCATCCTCCGGTTGCTGCTCTTTCTCCTCCTCCGTCTCTTCCTCCTCGGAGACGCGGGGCGGATCGACGAGCGGTAACCTCCCCCCCGTAGCCAAGGGGGTAGAAGAAGAGCGGGGAGGGAAGGAGGAGAAGGGCGACAGTTGGGGACGAGGAGCGGGAGAACAAGGACGGGCGTGAGGATGAGGCAGAAGGATGAAGAAGGGGGGGCGATGCCCTCATGGAGCCCCTGGCACCTCCCCTCGTGCAGAACTCGTAGAGGAAGGAAAGGAACAAAAACATGAGGACTGGCGGCATGCGCAGTTGGGGGCGAAAAACAAGAAGCAGGCTCAGGCGGACGAGGTGGCAGCGGCAAAGAGGCAGGGGGGAGGAGGAGGAGGAGGAGGAGGAGGAAGAGGAGGAGGAGGAGGAGGAGGAGGAGGAGGAGGAGGAGGAGGGGGAGGAGGAGGAGGAGGAAAAGGAAGAGGAGGACACGACGTACCTGTGGAGGAGGAGGAGGAGGACGAGCAGGACGAGGAGCCGAGCGTGCCGAGGCGGTCGGTGTTGCCTCGCGGGGGCGCGCGGCCGCGCCACGGCCTCCGTGCCTAACCCCCGCTCACAGGGACGCTCGCGGGTGGGGGGCGGTCCGCAGCGGCCGCTCGAGGTACGTGTACTTGATGAAGTGGCCGCGCAGCAGCTCCATGGGCTCCGCCAACACAGGGGAGCGGAGCACGCTGCACAGGGGGCGGGCAGCGCATCCTCCGCGAGGGGCGCCGTGCTGCCCGCGCCGCCGAGCGCAGGGTCTCCGCGTCGACTTCTGTTCTCCACGCGGAGCGCGTGGTAGGTGCCGCACGCGACGACCACCCGCTCGGTGTTCTGGTTGCTATTGTCCAGCAGCGCGAGGTTCGCCGCTGCCCCGGTCTGGGCGTTGGATCTGGTCGCTGCCGCCACCGCAGCAGCCAGCGGGCCACACGTCAGGTCATGCTTCTGGTTGTCTGCGCCATCGGCGCACTGGAAGATGCGTGGCCTGCGCCCGCACTCACAGATGATCCTGCTTGATGTCAGCCACGAAAAAGGACAGAGTCCTCATCCATGTCGCTGCCCACGACGGCGGCAGCTTCTGCATGGCGACCTTCACCCTGTCGAGCACCTCCGAGTCGCTCGCGAAGGTGTCCTCGAGGCCGGGCAGCTCGATCTTGATCCGCTCATCAGGAACGAGCCGATCTCGTCCGCGCCCATCGCGTGCCTCGCATCAGCGTGCGCCAGTCGCTGGGCGCGGGCAGGCTTGCCTGCTGCGAGTGACGCCCTCGCGGCCTCGAGGCAAGGGGCCAACGACGTGGGTGAGTAGTAGCGGTGGTCCGTCTCCGCGGACACGATCTGATGGAACGTCTCGACGGAAGGCTGCGCTTTCCACCAGGGCGGTGAGAAATGTTGGGCAGCCCGAGCCGCGCCCGACAGGGCCTGGTCATCTCCGTACTGGTCGAGGCCGCGGTGGAGGCGCACACGAATCTCGGGGAACTTGCGGAAGGTGGAGCTTGCAGCTCGGACGATCGCGGCGATCAGCGCGAGCTGCATGGACCTTGGAACGTGCGCCCCCCAGTCTCGTAGCCTCGGCCAGTCTTTGCTCCGTCGGGGAACCTCAGGACAGATCCATTGACCCAGTTCTCGACTTTGAAGGACCCGTGGGGCAACATCACACATTGGGCTAGGTAGCTGAGGACAGGGGGGGCACGGCTGTCGAACAACTGTGCGGACCCCATGGGGGGGGGGGGGGGCGCCGCTGGCACCGTGCATCTTGGTGCGCCAGCGGATCTTCTGGAAGGCCTCCTCGTAGATAAAGCGCTCGGTCGCCCCTGGTCCCAGAAGAAGCCCGAGGTTGGTCAGGCGGTCGCAGATGTTGAACTCCTGGAAGCAGGGGGCGATCGCGGCTAGGGCGCTGCGCAGCTTGTTCACGAGCTCGTCATCCACAGGGCCCGCGAGGGGGATGATGTGGCACTTGGCGGACTTCAGCGCGAGGCCCGCGAGGTCTTCCATGAGAGCCATCACCCCCTCCAGGCGAGCGAGGCGGATGACCGCAGCAATCGCCAGCCCGAGGTCATCGGCTCAGGCGCGGCGCAGCCCGTAGCCCCAGAGTTCAAGTTTCTGCTCAAGGCCGAAGAGGAAGCAGGAGGTGCCCATCGCGTAGAGGGCGCCACTCCACCCGCGCCCCTGGATGATGCCCGAGCGGATGTAGAAGAGTGGGGCGCACGATCCCGCGCGCGGGGCCATCGCGAGGACGTTGCGGCACACTGAGTCGAAGAAGTTCAGAACAACTTCAGGCTCGCCCATCGCCTTCGACACGAGGCGGCTGAACTGGTGGGCGAAGCTCGGGAAGGCTTGCGCTATGTCCAGCGACGCCAATACAGGCAGCTCGGTCATGGGCCATGGCGTTGGGGCCGGCGGACGCGACGCGGCTCTCGACGTCCAGCTCGAGGATGTTGTAGCCGAAGCCGCGGCGGTGGATGAACCCGCGCTGCGATGCTGGGACCGCGTCGGCAGCCGCCGCGGCCATTGCAGCGTTCATCGTGCTGCTGATGATATTGAAGGAGATGTTCCGAAGCCCCGGGACTCGGACTTCTGATGGATCACGGTGGCAGCCGATGTGCTCAGCGTCGTCTGGCTCCCCCCCCTCGGGAAAAAGTGCCTGGGCTGTCGCATTGGCTTCGTCGCGGAGGAGGCCGCCGTTGAGCATCCAAGTCGTGACCTGCTAAAGGGTCTCAGTGCACTTCTCATGCGCGGACCGCGCGATGTAGGGGGGCCCGTCCATGCCAGGGGAAATGGAGGATGATCTGTTCGCGAACCTCCTGGGCGTCTCGTCATCGGGAGGCCGGTATCTGTTGAAGTCGGTCTTGGGCGCGCGGCGGTCGAGGTAGTGTTCCGCCGCCATGTTGTCCACGCTCTTGCCTTGGAGGACGGGCTGCCAGTGCTCCATCAGCTTCTACAACAATCTCCCCGTCGGTCCCGTCACAGCCCCCGTGGCATTCTTCGCACCGGTGAACACTCAGCGCTTGCTGATCGGGTTCCAGAGCTGGATTTTGCGGCGCAGTGCTCGGGGCTGGGCCGGGGCTTGGGCATGGGGTAGGCGCCCGCGCTGGCGTGCCAGATCGATGGCGGCTGGCCAGTGTTCAGCGTCTTGGAGGAAGAGGGCGCTAGCCCACCCCATCGAAAGCGGCAGGGTCGATGCGCTTGATCTGGACACTGCTGATGTCGAGGATGTCTTGCGCTTTAGCACGAGCGCGAAGGAGTCTGGCCGCCAGCGCGCGATCCTGGCGCCGTGCCACGCTGGCCAGCGACTTGGCCAGCTGAAGCTGGACACCCCCCTGCCCTGGATGTTCTTCGTGCATGCGGTCTCGGGCAGCGCGCGCAACCTCTCGCAAGAGTTCCGTATTCTGCAGCAGTCTAGCTGGCGGGAAAAGCTTGTCCAGGTCAGCGCGGGGCAACGCCCTCTCCGCAATCTGCTTGAAGATGGGTAGCTTGAAGATGTACTGGGCGATCGGCTGGTTCTTCTCGGCCTTGAGGCCGCGCGTGGCGAAGGAGACGAGAACTGCGGCGCGGTCGCTGACCCGCCTGCGAGACAGCAGCTCGGGAAGTGGAGAAGGTGGTGGAGGCAGCGTCGAGCTGGGTCATCTGGGTGTGTGTGTGTGATCGAGCAGAAGCAGCGGTCTATGGTCGACTCCGCCAGCGTCTCCGCGCAGAAGTGGGTGGCGTCACTGCCCTCGATCTCCACCAAGTGCTTGAGCGCTCCAGGCCACTTGCGCGCCGAAGCTTCGGGGGTCTCGGCAGCCTCCGAGGATGCTCTGGCACTGGGCTCACTGAGTTTCAGCTCCCCGACGGCGGCGAAGCTGAAGTCCCCGATGACGACGAGCACGGTTTTGCCCAGGTCGGCCTTCCCAAGTTGCTTGTCGCTGTTGATCTTAGTCGAAGTGCGCCTGGCCGCCACAGCGTTGATCTCGTAATTATGAATGTTGTCGAATATCAGCCTCTGATCGTCGGCCTGGAAGACGGTGCGCAAGACGCGCCCAGGGAGGGGGGGCTCGCTCGCCGCGCCCAGGGAGGGGGACTCGCTCGCCGCATTGAGACCTGAGGGGCAGACTGCAGCTACACCGCCACTGCCTTCCCCGTGGTGACCTGTCGCGAAGGAGGACGGCATGGAGAGCTTGGTGCTGATCTTCCGCGCGAAGGCGAGGAGCTGAGCGTGTTTCTGGTGGGCCTCCTGCACGCCGAGGATCATCATGTCGAGGGGGGGGGGGGGGCGCAGGTAGGAGGGCTTCTCCACCACCCGGCGCCCTTGGTAGCTGAGGAGAGCTCGTGCATTCCATGTCCCAACCACCAGACTAGGAGAGGGAGGGGCCGCTCTGGGGGGCAGCCTCGTCGGGCGTAACCACATCGTTGATGGCGTCCTTGATCTGCGTGCGGGTGATGCCCAGCGCGGGGAGGCCCGTGTCCTGGTAGGCGATCGTCGTAACTTCATCACGTCTTGGATGTATTGTCAAAGGGAGAACGGGAGACCAGTTGGCCGAGATCCAGACCTTGGCACGGTCGACTCTCCAGGTGTGGTTAGGGAAGGCCCGCTCCAAGGCCTGGCGGATGCGCTTGCCGACGACTTCTGTCTTGATCTGCTTGGGAGACGTGTCTGGCCCCACCCGCAGCTCAACATACCCATTGCCCGCGATAGCTGGGGCACGGATGCGGGACCAACTGCCATCACGATTGCGGAGACAGTCCAAGGCTGTCTGAGTTCGGCGAGCGGCGGGCCCAGGGAGGCCTGTGAACTGAACCGTGAAGTATCTGGAGGTGTCTTGGCCCTGGACCTGGAAGTGCGATTCCTCGATGCCGCTGCCGGTGCTCCACTTGGTGAGGGCCTCTGACGCTTTGTCGAGTGTGACCAGGCCCTCAGCATGCACTTTGACGATAGTGAGGTCCACGTCTCTGTCGAAGTCGCGGCCCACGAAGGTCTGCTGCACCGGTTGCTTGTTGGCCACCTCAAAAGCTTTCTGGAGCGCGGCGATCTGGTCAGACATTTGGGAGATGGCCTTGTCGGTCTGGTCCTGGCGGCTCTCGATGTCGCCCATGCGCTGGGTGAAGGCGTCGAACTGTTGCTGGAATGGCTTGCGGGTGGCATCGATCTGCTCGCCCACGGCGAGGCCGACTTTTTGTTCGATCTTACTCGAGAGGCCGCTGATGCCAGCTTGGGCCGCGGCGATGTCAGCAGTGATGGGGCCCGTGGCCGCGCCCATCGCCGAGGAGACAGAAGCATTGATGGTGCCCCTGATGGTCGATTCCATGGAGTCGAGCTTGTCTTTGAGAGACTGGACGTAGGCCATGGTGGCGAAGGTGTCGACGGTAGCCTCATCATTGGGCGGTGGAGTCCTCGAGCGATCACTCCGCCCACCAGGAGGATCAGCATTAGTATGACCCTTGCGCTTCTGGATGCCACTGCGTTGGAGCGTCCTATCAGCGACCGTGGCTGAGAGAACAAAAACTGGGGTGACGTACAATAAACGTGACACCCTTGTCCCGAGTATGTTTGAATGCAGTCCGCGGACTAGCGGCCTCCATTTGGCCTGGAGGCTGACAGCCTCCAAAGGTCGGCACCTTGAACCAAAATGGCTACGGACGAGGAGGACGAGGAGGAGGAAGAGGAGGAGCAATGGTGGGAGAACGAGAAGGAAAGGAACATGAAGATGATGGGTAAGAGGGCAAAACGAGGAGGTGGAGGGGGGGTGGAGGAGAAAGGGAGAGGAAATGGAGAGGGAGGATGATGAAAGAGGGGGAGGCGGAGGAGGATCATAAGGTCATATACGTGGAAGATGCGGAACACAATGCGCAGAAACAGGAGAAGAAACCCGCAGCCAGCCGAGGAGTTCATCCAATTAGACATGCAACAAAACAGGTGAACAAGTGGCTCCTCGCCGAACTCTCCGAGTTCGAGGGCGCTCGCCTCGCGTTTCCTCCTGTCGAGGACCCGCTCGCTGCCCGAGGCACTTAGCCTCGGCGCAGGAAGGGAATCCCAAAAAGACGAGCCCCCTAACGAGGTCGACCCCGCAGACGTAAATACTGCTGGGAGGGGGTCCATGGGGAGGTGCTACATCAAGGCCGAGCTTCGCGGCCAAGAACGCCCGAGAGGCATCAGAGGAGGGCAGTCGCAGTCACCCCAACCATCGACATCATCATCACCGTCATCATCATTATCATCATCATCATCATCATCAGCATCATCAACATCATCATTACCACCACCATCGCCACCATCATCACCATCACCATTATCATCATTATCACCACCATCGCCAACATCAGTAATTATCATCACCGCCATCACCTTTATCATCATCACAACCACAGCTGCCTTCATCATCATCATCATCATCATCATCGTCATTGTCATCATCATTGTCGTCATCGACGTCGTCATCGTCATCGTCATCGTCATCGTCATCGTCATCGTCATCGTCATCGTCATCGTCGTCAACATCATCATCATCATCACCATCATCATCATCATCATCATCATCATCATCGTCGGCATCATCATCATCATCATCATCATCATCAGCCAATCATCAACATCGTCATCAATATCTCCTGCTACACCCCAGGCTTCCCCCTCAGATTTGTGCGGCAGGCGTCCTGGCGATTCCACCGTAGGGTGCAGCAAGCAAACGAGACGACTCGTGCAGAGCACGAGGAGGAATAGAGCGCGGGAGTCCACACAAAACCGCTACCGAGGAGGAGGCCCCAAAACCAGGGAACAAACACATGTGGAGCAAACAGCACGACGCCGATACTCGTGCGTATTGTATTCGGACAACTTACAGGGCTGAGGACTGGCCGGGGCCACCAATCGTTTGACACCTTCAAGCCCCGCTTGCATCGCAATCACCAGACCCGCGAAAAATGCTAAATTCGACAGGATCACGCTCGGCGAAGCGTGTCCAGAGGATCCCAAAGACGGGGTGAAGACCAGGCAGGACGACGTGGGACTTCCCTAACAAAAAAAAACATATAACCGATCCCTACAACTACCGCGAGAGACATGCGGTGTCTCAGGTTGGTGGCGGGCCCAGCAGGCGACTCTGGTGCTCTTTCTCCGACGGGCCCCGAAAGCGCACGGGTCGGGATTAAAGATGGCAGCGTCGTCAGCTCGAGCGGGGGGGGGGCGTCTGCCTACGGAAGCTGGCATGAAGCCCCTGGAGAAGGTGACGACGGATGGCCATATCAGAGACTCGGCTTTCCCGCGTCGCCTCGCCACCAGTCGCCAGTTCTACTCTGCGCTCAGCGAGGCAGGGCGGCATGGCCGTGGGAGTCTTGGCCTGCCACTCGAGCGCCAGCGGCGCCGGGACAACGAGCAGGTACGCGTGCGAAACCATGAGGACGTCCCACTGCTTTGTCTTGCCCAAGGGCGGGCATTCATCATGGGGGGTGGCAAGGCCGCACGGCGGCCCCCTCGACAGCGGCGCCCCCCTGGGAAGCGGCCGGAAGGTCGCGCGCGGGCGGCCGCAGGTGGTTGGGGAGGCTGAGGGCCATGGCGATCGCCAACTCGTCCTGGTCTTGGTTGAGCCTGCTCTCCGCGAGTACTGCCGCCGAGAGCCACGGGGGACCCACCTCCCCCATCCCGCCGGGCCCCGAACCGCGCGACAGGGACCCAAGCTGTGCCGGCGCGCCGCCAGAGGAAGGGCGGACTTCAAGACTGCTGGCATGCGCGTCGCGTCGAAGCCGTTGTTGCCCAAGAAGTGCAAGAAGATGATGTAGGTCACCACGGTGCCGTCGAGATGGTGCCACTCGATCCAGTCCAGGTGGCGCTCCGAATGCCAGAGGAAGCGAGCGCGCGCCCCCCCCGGGTAGTCCGCCAGCTTCACCTCGCCCTGTGCTGGAAGTAGGTCGGGCCCCTCACCCAGCCACCGCGCAGGGCATCCTGCTGGCGAGTCGCCGCAGGCACCAGCGCGGCCGCCGCCGGGAGTCCAGTGCCATCATCCTGGAGGGCGCCGAGGTCCAAGCTGCGGGGCCAGCGCACGGGCTGCCCGCGGCTCGTGGGGGTCGGCGGCCGCACCGTGCGCCCTCTTGCCAGCGAGCGCCGGGCTTGCACGCGAGAGGAGCGCCCAGGCCAGGCGACGACGTCGGGATCGAGCGGCGCGACGCCCGGCAGCCCGCGCGACGGGCCGTCCGACGGGTTGAGCTCGCTGGGGATCCACCGGGCTGCGACGTGGAGCTTGCGGCCCAGCGAGTTCGCGAACCTCCCCGAGGACGCCGCGCTGGCAAGGGCGAACGACATGTTGCCCGCTGGGCAAACGACGCGCTTGCCGAGGGCCTCGGACGAGCGCAGCTGGCCCAGAGGGCCGAGCCGGCGGCCAAACCCTCCGCGCGGTAGATGCCGAAGTTGTCGCGCCAAGGGGAGTTGCGGGTGACCGCCCGCCCGCCCCCGGCGAGATTGGGGTCGACCTCCCTGGCGGCCTGGTCCAGTCCTTCGCCTCCTCCGACGGCGGCCGCGCAGAATCGCGAAGCGCCGAAGCCGCGGGGTCCGTCCCCAGCGCGTGCTCATGCGCTCGAGCCGAATCCTCGAGATGCCGCCTTTCCGCGGTGCGCCCCAGCTCGGCCGCGAGCTCGGGCTCGCATCTGCGGCGGCGCATCCCGCGGGCCCAGCGCGAGGCGTCGCAGCAGGCCACAGCGGCTGGGCCACGTCCTTGGAGGCCCGAGCGAAGACGTAGACAGCGGCGAAGATGGCGAGTGGGCAGCGCTTGAGGAGCGCGACCCACGCGCAATGGGCGACGATGACGTCGAGGATAGGCCCCCGAACCTTGGGCCGCCGCAGGAGCTCCTCAATGGAGAAGCGTAACCGCCCAGCCAGCCGTGCTGACGCGCGGACTGCGTGCTGCTGCCCCTCGAGGTCGAGGCCGTCGAAGCCGGCCTGGCGGCCTGGCGGGCGGCGCTGACTTGCTCGTGCGCTCGCCGCTGCCTGGGCCTTTCTCGCGCTGGCAGCCCGCCGCCAGGTAGTGGTCGACGTAGGCAGCGCCAGCCTCGGGCAGCCGTGCGCCTAGCCGGACCGCGAGGCTGCGGTGGCGCACCTGCTGCGCAGGAGCCATCCGCGCGCGGGCGACGGCCGCATCCGACGCGCGCCGGGCAAGGTGCAGCGCTCGCGACCAGCCCGTCGGGAGGGTGGCGAACTCGGGAAGCGGCCATTCCGACTCGCAGGCGGCCAGGCCGCCCGCGGCGGCAACGTCGGCCTTGCCAGCCCTGACGCTCGGCGGCTAAGAACGCGCAGAGCACGTCTGGAACCTCCATGGCGTAGGAGGCGTTGGAGATGCCTCCGCTGGGCGCTCGCGCGCCGATGGCTTTGCACTTGTGGCGCTCCACGCAGAATTGGGGTTCGCGGGCGACCAGGGTGCCGCGTGAGAGCCATCGACCTGGAACTAAGACTGGTCGCCCTTCGCGATCATGAGGAAGTCGTGGTGCACCGACTCCAGCGAGTCATCGGGCAGGGCGCTCGCGCCGAGGGCGGCTTTCCAAGCCGCGTGACGGTGAAAGAGGAATCAGCCGCTCTCGACCTGACAAGTGGCCACCCCGCGGCGCGAGTTGGCCCCGCGCGCGGGCTCGTCTGACAACGTCGGGGGGCGGCTGATCTGGGCGCTGCCCCTGAAATCGTTCCGCTGCTGGGCCTGGCTGTCGCACGCTGTCGCGACTGTGAAGAAGTCGCCTCCGCCGGCGGCGGCGGCCGCGCGCGCCCCGCCCAGCTCTGCGGCAATGGGCGGCGCCGGCGCGCTGGGCGCGCGGGGCAGCGACCGCGGCGGGCAGCTCCGCCATCGCGCCGCCCGCAGGTGCAGGGGCTGCGGCGCGGGGCGGCCGCGGCCTGGCACATGTGGGGGCACTGTCCGCCTCAAGGGCGGCCCCGGCGCCGTCGGCGGCGACGGCCTCTAGGGCCGCTGGAACGCCGGCAGCCAGTCTTCCGCCCAGGGGCGCGCCGCCGCGCGCGGGCAGGGGGGGCGAGCCCGGAGCGAGTGGGGGCGCCGCAAGCCGCCGCCCCTGCAGCAGCACTACAGCCTCGGGCATCAGTGATCATGGAAGGCTCCCCGGGCCGCGCCTGCGGCACTGGTGCAGCCGATCTGGCCCCAGGGCGCCGCGACGCCGAAGTCGAAGCGCCTCTCGCGCCGATCGAGGTGGCTGGGCCCCGCCGGAACGGGCGGCCGCGCGGTGCTTCCCTTGGTCGCGGGCGTCGGGACTGGCGTCGTTGCTCCTTGCGTCGTTTACGACGGGTGATGACGATACTGATGATAAGAGGAGGAGGGAGGGGGCAGCGGGAGGACGAGGAGTGAACGCGGGGACCGTCTCTCCAAACCGAAGACCCAACACCACAGGATGGTGGGAAAAACAAAGAA